AAAAAAAAAAAATTCAGGTCAATTTTATGAATGGCATAAATTTACAACCACTAAATCCTAAAAGTTGAATCTCCCAAGTCTGCTAATAATTTTAAAATATTATTTTGCTAAATCCTTAGTTTTTATTTCCATAGGCAGGCCCTCTTTTCTGCATTGTTGATCCCTCAGCACACCACTGCTTGAAATTTTATAATCCAAAATTCTACAGAGGATCCTGATCCCTACTCTAATCTGCAACATTTTATTCTACTTGTACCAGGGCAGGGCACACAAATGTGTCTGCTGTGCTCCATCAGAAAAAGACTTTCCTAATCCTAGTAATTCCTTGGGTCAATGTTATTGCTCCAGAGAGAGAGCACTAACCCCAGATTTTTCATTGGAATACAGTTTTAGGTGTATTATCTCATCCTTATAAAGTGTATCTTTTAACATACCTGAAGAGTTAGTACAAGAGTACACAATTACAGTTTAGAAATAAATATACAAATTTGTGCTCAAATTTTTTTAACTATTAGGGTACATGACCTGCAAATACTAGAAATACCCTAAATTAGTATAGTTTTCAAAACGCATGTGGGTCTCAAATACATCTGAAAATTGGATGGAGTATGAACAGTTACCCCCACCCCCAAATTTGCATGTAAAAAAATATGAACACAAAATTCTGCATGTAATTTAAGGGGATTCCAAATGATCCAACAGGACCCATGGTCCGTTATAAAACCTTAAATATTTTTCAAACAAGGCATGCCAAAAAACAACAAAAAATTATCTTTTATACATTTCCACCTACAAGTAGCATTCTACTACGCAGGATCCTGTCAGTAAAGTTGGTTTGGTATATATTTGTACTTCTATAATTATATTGCCTTTAGTAAAGTTAAGGCAGACAAGAATGGAACGCATAAACCAAACTGCACAACCAGACTATTAAAATACTATCTTCTCAACTTTTCAAAAATGTGAACCCGCCATTTACAAAGCATTCATTGCCTATATTGAAACCTAGAAAGGTAATCTCTAGAATTATCCAAGTTTAGTTGCCAGTATTTAGTCTTTAAAAGGGTGGCTTAATATCTTATTCAATATTTAAAATCACTAGCATTCTGTTTAAAGTGGTCTTACAAAGAAGTGACCAGGTTTATTGTGCATTGGACTGTAATCACCACTAATAAAAAAATTACAGTGAGCTACTGCACATGTACATCCATTCCATGATACTCCTAATTTGGATGTAAAGTCTGTAAAGTCCTAGACAGTTGATACATATATTTTCTGATGCTGAAGAACCTAGCTGTCTCTATCAAAGTGATACTGTCAAATACTGGCGGGGGGGAAACACTAGCCAATAATTACATTAAAAGAAAAGGTCTCCCTTAATTTAAATCTTAAAGCACAACTGTAAAAGACTACATGATACCACTTTGGATGAAATTGGTCCATTTTCGATTTTAGGATAAAACTGGGTCAATAAAAATTGCGTACAAGTTCATGTTTGATTTTACCCTCCCATGCCAAAACATAGTTGTTGTTAAGAGTGAAAAACGGGGGGCGCCTCGGTGGCTCAGTCGTTAAGCGTCTGCCTTCGGCTCAGGTCATGATCCCAGGGTCCTGGGATCGAGCCCCACATTGGGCTCCCTGCTTGGCGGGAAGCCTGCTTCTCCCTCTCCCACGACCCCCTGCTTGTGTTCCCTCTCTCGCTGTGTCTCTATCAAATAAATAAATAAAATCTTTTAAAAAAAAAGAGTGAAAAACGGCTCCTCTAACCACACCCTAATTAGTCAGAAATATACAATATTTTCTGATGATTTTCTTAAAGAATAAAACATTAAAGATATGGAAGGCCCATTCATAACAGTCAATTATGTAACAATGCACCTAACATTCTCCCCTCTTTGAGTTAGAGAAGGTATTCTTTTCCACCGAGTACACAATCCTTATATTACATATAATTTGTATTATGTAATATATAAATTATGATAGTACATTCTAAGAAAGGAATGTATAAAATATAGATACTTCAGCAAGCATGGAAGCGGAGCAATACTCTACAAAGCTGTTCAAATTACAACAAATTGTGAATACCCAAGAAACAGGATTTTAGCAATGGCTCATGTTGAAAACGCCTTGCCAGAAATCAATGTAAAAGATAATGATTTCCTCTGAAGTAGATTCCCATGGTATCAACCATGAAAGAGCCACATTCTTTACTGACATGCTCTGCAGCAGGGTTTCCCTTCTGAGGAGCTTATGTTCTGAAGTTTGAGGAATGGAGGTGGGAGGATATCCATGTTATCAAACATTACCATCAGAGAGAGCTTATATGGAATAGAGCTCACAAACTAATATGATCCTTTGCTTTCATGACAAAGACAAACCACACTACTGGCTGCTAAAGCAATAAATAAACCAAATGCTATTACAGGCAATTCACAACAGTGAAAATATGTAACATACTCCTTACTGAAGTAATTTTACTTCAATGTTAACTAACAGATTCTCTTTAAGCAACAAAGAATAGGGGCGCCTGGGTGGCTCAGTTGTTAAGCGTCTGCCTTTGGCTCAGGTCATGATCCCAGGGTCCTGGGATCGAGCCCCGCATCGGGCTCCCTGCTCAGAAGGAAGCCTGCTTCTCCCTCTCCCACTCCCCCTGCTTGTGTTCCCTCTCTCACTGTGTCTCTGTCAAATAAATAAAATCTTAAAAAAAAAAAAAAAAGCAACAAAGAATGTATCTTTGGGGCGCCTGGGTGGCTCAGTTGGTTAGGTGTCCAACTCTTGATTTCAGCTGAGGTCATGATCTCAGGGTCCTGGGATCGAGCTCCACATTGGGCTGCTCACTCAGTGGGGAGTCTGCTTGAGCATTCTCTCCCTCTGCCTCTCCCGTCTTGCGCAAGTATGCGCTCTCTCGCTCTAAAATAAATCTTTAAAAATAAAAATAATAATATATCTTCAAAGAGTATAGGGAAATAGTGTGTGATTAAGTGAATAATCTATCCAAAGAAATTAGGCCAAAAATTCAAAAGCCATCATCTCCCAAGGAAATGAATAAACACCCATGAAAGTAGCAAATCTCTAAAACAATGGACAATACTTCTACAAGTTCATCCTTTTTGATTAAATACAATTTCAACTGATAAACAAATGATATAACAGAATACAGTTCCAGTTAACTGAACAGTTAGTTGGAAGTTATAAAGACAAAGAATTTTGACATTTTAAATTTTCACCTCTTTTGGATTGAAAACTGACAATAAGGGGGACCTGGGTGGCTCAGTCAGTTGGGTATCTTGACTCTTGGTTTTGGCTCAGGTTATGATCGGGGTCACAGGATCGAGCCCCACATTGGGCTCTGTGTTCAGTGTGGAGTCTGCTTGCCTTCTTCCTCTGCTCCTCTCCCGCTTGTGCACTCTAATAAAATCTTTAAGACAAACTGGCAATAAAACAAATATAGCAAACAGGGCTTTGATTTTTTTAATCAAACCCATGTATCTTCTACCCACATTAGCATGCCAGACATCATAATAAAAGTTCAATTACATAATAATTTCTATTTTCCAGCTGTATTTTACAAAAAGCAAAAGTCCATAATATGAACATTCAGTTCTGCATTCTCAACATCATCTGGCTTTCCAGAATTCTAATCAAGATGGTTTTTTACATCATAGGTTATACACAGATGGAGTTTTACAATGGATAGCAATGAAACCACACATCCTAGTGATAGTCATTCCCCCTTACCCACGGTGTCGCTTTCTTTAGTTTCAGTTACCTAACAGTCAACAGTGGTCCAGAAGCAGATAATCCTCTTCTGACGTTCTGTCAGAAGGTCAATAATAGACTAATCCTACTTCACCATGCCTACATTGTTTACCTCACTTCATTTCATCACGTAGGCATATCACATCATCACCAGAAAGGTAACAGTACAGTAAGACATTCTGAGAGATACCACACTCATGTAACTTTTATTACTATATACTGTTATCATTGTTCTATTATTAGTTATTGCTGTTAATCTCCTCCTGTGCCTAATTTGTAAATTAAACTTTATCATAGTTATGTACACAAAGGAAAAAACATAGTTATTTATAAGATTTGGTACTATCCACAGCTCAGGCATTCACTGGGGTTCTCTAAAGTGCCCCCTCAGATAAGGGGGGGCAGGACTAGCAATGAGGGTATGAAAGGCAAAATACTTCACATAAAAAAGTATCCGAATAGCCAAAAAGTGTATGAAATTA